GAGCACTTGGTAGGGTGCGCTTTATTCATCCTCTGTTGGGAGACACCTTGAGCCATCTGTGGCGATGGCCACATAACCCTCTTCAGTGCCATGCCAACCTTAAGAGGCGCTCGCTAACAGAATTTGCTGTTAAAACACGAGGCCGAATCGGGGTGGGGGGGGGGTACGCATACACAGGGTACACGAGAGACGAGTGTTTATCTGCGGGATGACACAGGTGTGGCATCGGAAAAATCAAGTGCCCATTAAGCACACGAGCTGTGTGTGTGTGGGGGGGGGGTGCTCACAAGGGCGTGGGTTGTGAAACGCTCGGCACAGCTGTGCCTGTAACGCGAGAGCCTTAATTCTCGCCCCAATATTTCGTGTTCTCTTTTTGGAAAGAAAAATATTTGACTCCCCCGTCGGTGTTGGTTGTCGCAGCCGGGCTTTTCACGCCTTTATTGTACGGAGGGCTGTTGTATTTAAATAAATAAATAAAGGAGTTGGCGAAACATCCGAATGCTGGCCCCACCTAAACAAATCTTGAGACAAAGTACAGTGTAACTTTTCCAACTTGCTATTGTAATCCCGGGCCTGCATCTCTCCACGCTCCTTCGCACGCTTTTAAGCTTTTGTGTTCAGTCGTCCTCTTCGTCATTGTTCGCACGTTTCTGATAACGTGCGTCGTTACGTTGACCGACGGAAAAAAAGGCAACGTGAGGATCGTGGATCGTACGCGCCGAAGACGGAATATTCACTGTGAAGTGGCTTATAGGACTCGTCACTCGAAGGGATGACGGTCCTGGTGGTCAAGGCTTACGACAAAGTGGCAGCCAAGGGAGAGCAAACTCCTGGGAGGACGTCTCCCGCGGAGGAGATGGAGCGGCGAGATGAGCTCGTTGACGTCCCGGAGCCCTTATCCTTGCGTCGCAGACCGTGAGAGATGGTGATGGCTCCAGGAGGCCATCCTTCCCTCAGTGGATTGATCAGAGCTGATAATGAACAAGATAAATGATCTCAAACATATTTACATCTCTCTTAGAGTGCATGTGGTCGGCAAGGGTATATATAAAAAAACGAAAACCCCCCAGTAAAAACACCGCTTTGTTTCTCTCGAGACGATGCAGATACCATCAGGTGATCACAACAAATGATTTGTCACTTTCCCTTCAAAGGCCTGTAAAACTTTATGGCGGCTGAAGGAGAGGCTCGCACACACATGTCCAGGCAGACGTGTCTCCTCCTCCTCCGCCACCACCACCACCACCGTAAAACCAGTGCCCTAACTGGCCAGTGGGGGCCGGCCAAATTGCGTGGGACTGGCAGGCAGATGGCTCCGCGAGATGAGATGGCTCGGGCTGCACCCCCAGCACCTGATTTATGACTCCGTTATCCTGAGATCTCTTCCCCGGCTGTTAGGAGGAATTTGATGGGAAAGGCGAGAATGTGCAGACTGTGTGCGCGCGCGTAGGGAAGGGGAAGAAAGTAAAGCGGAGTAGTCGGAGTAGTTGCGTGTGCGCTGGCGTACATGGGAAGCGGTGGCGAAGCTATTTGCGCGCTGCGCTATGAACCCGGTAACCCTCAGAGTTCAATTCCCGCTCACTGTCAAGACCAGTGACGAATATCTGAACCGATTCTGGGCCTCCCCCTAGGTCCACTCAGCCTCAAATGAGTACCTGTTGCGATGTGTAAACGATGTCACTGGGGAGACGAAGGCAGCCGGGCGTGGTGTTGGCTACCCACCCCTTTGTGTGCTGTGCAGGCCTTCATAGATGCTCGCTGACAGCATCTGGTAAGGCTATACGGGGGATCTTTGTCTTTGTTTGCTGGTGTATATTCGTGCTGATTGCTCCTTGCCTTTTTATTACACCTCGGCAGAATAATGCGCTTATCTGGATAAGTCGGTGGGACCAGTACATTTAGAGTATTTGGCAGCTATAAATGTCCACGCGATGATAAGCCACTATGTAGAGCTATCATTTGTGGCCAGGTCGCTCCTAAAAAAAGAAGCTATATAGCTCAGTGGGCCTTAGGTGATAACATTTTAAATGTTCTTATCTTTCCTATATGTTTTTGTATTGATTGTTGTAACGTTCCTTCCCACCCTGACTGGACATCTGTGAAAAAGAGCTTAATAGGTCATTGTATTCTGCCTCCAGTGTAAAAAACACATTCCTGCGGAGGGAGCTGGTAGGAACGTTGGGTTGCTCGGTCAATGGCCAGGGTCAACAGGGGCGTGGTGTATTCCGCAAATATGGCCGACTGTGAGGGCGGGCACAAGCCGGCGTGAGTAGGTTAAACGTTGAATTTTATAAGGGCACCACGGGGTGACCAGCCCCTCCCCACCCAGCCCCTCCCCACCCTCCCCTCCCCACCCAGCTCCTCCCCACCCTCCCCTCTCCACCCAGCCCCACCCCTCCCATTTTTGAATGCAGGACAGACGGACACAATAATCCCCTGTGGGATGGTGTAACCAGGAGGTTCCTACCAGTAATATTCTGACTTGTTTGTTCCACCTGAGATGGCACCAGTCGAGTTTGTATCATCAACTTCAAATTACCACTTATTAAATAAAGTGACTGCATAATTCACCAAGTATTTTACCGCAGAATATACTTTAGTTTGTTTGAGCACATACACAAACTGGTATTGTTTTAGTAATCACTGCGATCTGCCGTGCTTCCCAAATGATGCTTTGGCCCGTGGACTAGAAGCAGAATGACCAAGGGGTTTCAGCTTAACTTCTTTTTCCAAATACGCGAGGAGTTTCCGGGTAAAAGGTCCGGCCGTGTTTTTGGTACACACGCACACACACGGCTGAGCACAGACGGCGAGATGGGGTTACGTAAAGCGAAGTGCGTTTATTAAGTAATGACAGTGCGATGGCTCGGGCAGCTTCGACAAAAAAAATATTCGTCGGGTGTTTATAGATGCTTAGTCGGCTGTAAAAACAAATTAGCCACAAAGTAATTTAGCAGCAGCTCTCTCGGCCTGCCTTATAAGGCCGCGTCTTTTTGAAGCCCCGTCGGCGGAGGTTTTCGGAAAAGTCGGCAGTGTAAAAAAAAGAGTGGAATTGAGCGAGCGTGTACTTGGGACCTAAATCCCCCGCAGAAAGAAAAGGGTCTTATATTTTCTTTATTTTCCTCGGCGGCGTCTTCTCATGCGGGCCTTTGTACCTCCAGATGTTTAGTTTTAGCATTGGAAGTTTGGCAGGGCGAGGAAATTTCACGCTTAACTTCGCCAAGCAAACGGGGCCGGCAAACAGAGTGCTGCTTTGTGAGCCCCACGGTGGCGGCGGTGGCGGCAGTGGTGGCGGTGGTGGCCGGAGGAGAGAGAGAGAGGAGGCACTTGCGGAAAGCAGCAGCTGATTGACATCGCTTGCCCCAACGTAAACAATGGCGTTTATTTGCAGGCCCCCCACCCCGCTCCTCCAAACTCACCACCCTACCCCCACCTCATACCACACCCCACCCCTGCATGCTGCTTACAAAACTGATCTTTCCTATGAAAAAAAAGTCGTAATAAACCTTGAGCAACAACGGAAGGCCAACTTCACAAATCTGGCTATCGCCTGATGAAGCTGGTTGTTGTTGTAATCGCCAGCGGAACGTGTTGTGGGTTTATTCTCCAAAGCACCGGTGTGCTGATCTAGTAACGAATTGGCACGTTTTGTTTACGTGACAAACCTTACTAATTGGCTGTGTCGGGTGGTGGCGGGTTTAACAACACATTTATATTTACGCGATCTAACCCAAAAAAACCCTTTATAATGGATAATATTGGTCGCAAAAAAAAAACAACTCAACGACACTTTCGTTCGTCAGTAACGTTGTGTGGTGTGGCCTTCAAAGGAAAAGTCGATAATCGGTGACGATGCTCGGCAGTGGGCCTTCTTCACAGCACCTGGATGGAGAGGTCAGAGAGTGGTAATAAGCGGGTAATGAGAGTTGGAGATTCACAACGGGGCCTGATGAGAATTAAATGAGAGAATTTGTTTCCTAACGACCAGTTTTTAAATTGGAATACGAATAGTTGCGTGTATGTTGAACTTCTTTCGCACCGTACGTAGCCAATCGTGCTAATGGGGAGAAACGGACAAATACTTGGAAAATCAAAACATGACGAAATTAACTCGATTGAAGGGGGAAAAAAATATATATAAAAAATGTGTACCTAAGTCACATGGTTATTCAAAAGGGTATATAAGCAGAACTCCTCTTTGTGTCTTAGAATATAAATACAGACCGATGTTTCCTACAGCAGCACTTGAGCGAGTAAATTCTTGACCAGTTTCAACCTTTTGGGTCTCATCAGCAGCAGAGCCAGGCTGGTCAAACAAGTTACCCGATGCTATTTATTGGCGTGGTATTATTCGCTTTGGTTGTGCATTTTGTCCAGTTGTGAAATGGTGAGATTGCGACGTTCGGATTACGTGTGAGTCTCTTGCTGTTCATTTTGGGGCGGTCGGGGGAGGATTTTTCGATGTACACTTTGGGCTCTTTTCAAAATATAATTTGTGTGTTTTGGTTGGCGTAAAACTTGTCCCATTCCCTTTCAAATGCCGTGCGAGCAGAGGAAATAGAAAGATTTAGTGGCTTTATATTTTTTTAAATTTGGGCATGGCACGTAAACTATAGATAATCGCTTTTAAAATGACACCCTATATGTATTAGTAGGTTGATTTAGGAAGTTTGGCTGATTTGTGGACCTTGCCCTATCAGGCCGAACAGAATGAATGAAATAAACACCGAGTGTTGTGTAAAATAATATATACGTAAAAACTGCCCCCATAAGTGGCAGCTCGCGCAAGTTCTGCAGCGGTCATTATTTCTGTGCACGCTATTTTCAGCCTTTGCTCCATTTACTCTTGTCAGTTTGTGATTGCGAGTACATAACTCGCCACTTGTGACTTTACGTTCACTCTTTCTACGGCCGTTAGTCATTTCATCGTGATACCGTAACTCCATTTTTTAAACCCAGCTCTGTTTTCCACTCCCCCCCCCCCCCCCCCCTTTCGCCAGGCTCCACAGCACCGCCACCACCGCTGCTCCTCTTCGCGAACCGCCGTGACGTTCGACTTGTGGCGACCACACGCCCAGACGGCGCTGCGGGTCCCCCCGCGATTGGCGCCGGCGGTGGCGGCGGCGGCGGCGGTGTCGGTGCCAGCGTCGCCAACTCCACGGTGGTGGTGGTGGGTGGCCTGGAAGACGCCGTCGCCGTGGACTTCCTGTTTGGAGAGTCCGCTGTCTACTGGACGGACCTGGGCGAGGAGGCCATCAAGCGAGCGTCCATCGTCAACGGGACGGCATGGGGGGGAGCGGCGGGCGCGCCGCCGTCGGCGGGGGCCGGCGCGTGGCCGCAAGTGACGATCGTGGCGACGGGGCTGGTGTCTCCAGATGGGCTGGCGTGCGACTGGCTGGGGCGCAAGCTCTACTGGACCGACTCGGAGACGAACCGCGTGGAGGTGGCCGAGCTGGATGGCTCGCACCGCAAGGTGCTCGTGTGGCAGGACCTGGACCAGCCGCGCGCCATCGCGCTGCACCCGGCACAAGGGTGAGTTTGAGTGAGCGTCCGTGCGTTCGCGCCGCCTGGCCCAGTGCTAGCGCCGTGGTGACGTGACCGCTGGGGGCCATGGGTGGCGAGATGTGGAGGGAAAAACCGGAGGACCCGGAGAAAAATGCACGCGACCACGGGGAGAGCGCGAACACGCAGACTCCAAATATACAGCAGGCGTCAGGGTTGGAATCAAACCGAAGACCTCCTGCATGCCAGGCGAGGTAGTTAACATCTTGCTACCGTGGCCTCGCCCACAATTTTTTTATGAATCATTACATTTGGTTGCGAAACCCTATGGGTTAGGTTCCCCACCGCACTTTTGCAGAGCAAGCCCGGAATCCCGCGGTGGTGTCGGGGCCATTGTGCCGTCACGTCGGGTAACGGCCCGATTGCTTGGCAGCTTAAACATAATGATTACGCGGGCGATTTCGCAGTCATGCCTGCACCAGAATCAGAATCTTTGTTTAGACTGGAAGAATCCGATGAGCCTACGGAGCTCTTTTTCCACAGATGTCCATTTGCGGTGAGTCTGAAAGTTACAACGACAAACAATACACAAACTGAGCATTAGGAAGCTAAGCAAGTTACAGCAAAAAATGAAGTTAATTAGCGCCGCACTCTTGCCCAGAAGCATCTTGGGGTCAGAATTTTATTCTCGTTTTTCTCCTCTTCCGTGAACTTTGAACCAGTTAAGCTTCCTCCATTTGGTACTTTTTCTAAATTGCAAATACTGCCTTCTCCTACGGTACAATGAGTCTGTATGGTACGAGAACACATCTATATACACACACACATGGGACATGTGGACCAGATATTCTCAGGAACAGGATGTTCATTGTAGAAAATGGGACACTTAACACATGTGGACTTTGGTAATGTACCACAGTTAGTTAAAACGCATAAGAAATTACTTATTCGACACTTAGAAGTGTAGATAAGAGGTTTGGCAATTAACTTTATTTAAATTGTCTTCAGAATATTAGCGAGCGGATGCACGCCGACGAAATGGAGCCCGTGTGCAGGTGCTTGGCAGCTTATTAATTCGCAGTTGGTGACTTGTGGATGCCTCCATCCAGCAGTTGGTTGACCATGGCAGATGTTAGCTACGGCCGATCGAATCGCAGCTCCGTGTCCCAACGATGCAGAAAAGCAAGTGCAGCCCCACGCCAGTTTCAGCACGGAGACGTGCGGAGGCAGCTTTTTTTGACTTGGTTGAGCGCAAGTGGTCGGTGACCAAGACAACGAGACGAGACATTTTTGTTCGAATTCGGTAAAAAAAAGGTCTCAAAATTTCAAGAGGCTGAATGCAACGTGAATTCGAGAGGGTGGTGGTCCTTGATAAATAACTGTCACGAAGCGGTCCTTACAGAGCCGCATGCGGATCCGGAGCCGTAGGTTGCCGACCTTTGTCCATGGTAAACTGGGACTTCCATGGTAAACTGGGACTTGCGTTGTCAACTGGGGCTTGCATGGTCAGGAGTCGGCAACCAAAATACCAAGAAAATACATTTTATTTTTTCGAATTTCAAGAGCTGCACTGCAGTTCCTTAAAGAGCCGCACGCAGCTTCGGAGGCACAGGCTGCCGACCCCCTCATCTGGTGCAAGTGCCTACGACCAAATTGGCCAGAATGTGCCTGATCCCTCCCGTCAGACATCGGAGAGCCAAGCCCTCGGTTTGGATACTCGGGTGGCAAGAGGCAGCCCTGCTATAATACGCCGGTGTTGCCGCCGCTCGGGTTTCTCCCCACCACCCTGCTGCTGCAGACACAATGATCGCAAGGTTATCGTCTGCCTCGGGGGGCCCGCGCGTCGTAAAACGCGACGTAGCCAGCTGTCTGCGTGCGCGCGTCGTCCGTCCGTCGGTAGCAGTAGTGGTGGCGGCGGCAGCAGCGGCGGCGCCTTCGAGACGCGGAGACGTGAAATTCCTGAGCCGCCCCACACCGGAAAGGAAAGCCCTCTCCCCCCCACACTCCCCCACCACAACCCCCCACCACAACCCCCCCACTTCTTAGCCGAGGAGGCATTCATTTGTATGGATTAGTGTTTTCCTGCAAGTTCAAGTCACTTATCTCCTCCCCTCTTTTACCCTTCCCCGCTGTTTTTCACGACTCGAGGTGCCCCCGGGCCTGAAGCACCGTTGTGTTGTTGCCTGCGGGGGGGGGGGGGAGCTGTTAAGCCGCCGTGACGGTGGTGGCGGTGGCGCTCGCTCGGTGCAAATGAAACGGGAACTGTAGATAAGTACACCAGATACAAGAAGTGTGTGTGCGGGAGGTTTTTTTTTCAATTTCCACATTTCTATTCGCGGCGGAGGCTCACGCTGTTTTAATGTAAGAGGCGGCGTGTGAAGGTGCTTAATCCAGCCGTGACTTCTCCCCCACTCCCCTTCCCCGACCCCTGCCTCCCCTCCTCCTCCGGCGCGTTCGAGAGCGTTTGACAACATCCCGCTGATTGGAGCCACGCGAAGGCCCCCCGCCCCCCCTCAGCAGTCCCATCCATCGCTAAAAATGAATGGACGCTTTCCCCTGTGTTGCGTTACGTTAAGAAGCGGTGGCAGTAATAATCGTCGTCGTCATCCTCATCGGCTAATGTTTTGCGTCAATTATTGAGCGTCTCGAATTGTTGCGCGATAGCTGCCGCACGAAGCCACGTGCACGCTTCTGCTGGAATGTAACGGCCACGTTGAGAGATTGCACGGGGAAAAAATACCAAACTTGTTTTACATCACGAGTCGGACGAGGCGAGAGATGCCTGTCACCGTGGTCATGTGATCATCAGCAGCAGCAGCCCTGGGTCATTCCACTGCTGGATGAAGGCCTCATCCGGGCCGGCGTTTTCACCCACGATCCTGCGGCGGCGTAATAATCTCGCGTTGTCGGATGGTGATAATATAAAAATTATAAATAGTAATAATTATAGCGAACGCCGTACGTACGCGTGCTGCCCCTTTCTCGTGCCCGCACACGTCACGTGTTGTTGTTATTTGAGCGTACTTCGCCACGCTGGTCAGTTTGCAAATAGAATTTCGTGAGTGTTGGGCTTTGTGTGGGAGGACACCCGGGTAACCGGAGAAAACTCATTGTGCACGCGAGGGTGTGACACTCAAACCTCCGTAACAGATGGATCATATCCACTGCTGTACTGCTGCCACCTCCGGGACCACCTTACCACTTGGTGGCCTTATGAGGTCTGGCACGATCACGATCAGATGCGTGGTCATAAACGTACTGTGTAATCGTATACACATGTTTTTGTTCACGGTAACATTTGACATTCCTTCGTAAGAGTTAACTATTGCTCCAGTTAATTGCTGTAGGGCCATCACGTGGTTACTTAATGGCTGTCAGTGTACATTAAGAGTCAACCAAAACAGCCCCTGCTCTCACGAGAGCGACTTGTCATGATGAAAAACGGTAGCAGCAGCATTCGTGTCACGCTACTGTTTCTCAACTCTGGCCCTCGCGAGCCCCAGCCCCTCCCCACCCCCAAATCAGGTGCATGCAGTGTGCAGCAGCTTAATTTCCATATAAATATAAAGGATTGGTGAGTACAACAAGGCGGACCCAGGGACTGTCTTACCACTACGACTGGAGTTTTCTTAGAGGAGAATCGCAAGCGTGTGCAAGCACGCACGTGGCTGGCTCGTACTTAGTACAACGTGTACGTTTTCTCAGTTGTGCCGCATTGGTGTCCGATGCGTTTTTTTCTTCCTGGTCCGCGTCCGCGTGTCATTTCGCGCGGCGTTGGAGGAGGCTCGTGATGGACGCTACTGAGCAGTTTTGGAGGCGGTCGCCCTCCAACAACAACGGAGGGCAGAGGAGCGACGCTCACAACAATGAGCGGAGTGCCGGGTGACTAAAGCACAGCAAGTTGGCACAGTAGGGGGCACAGGTGGTGCATTCTCCCTCAGGAGGTGGGGGGGGGGGGGATTGAGACGCTGGTGGGGATGAGGCCATCGTTTGAGAGAGAGAGAGGCTGATCGAGATGCGGGGGTGTGGAAGTTTTCACAGGAACGCGCGGACTTCTGGTGACGCGTTTGTGTGAGCACGCGGGGGTCGGTGAGACGTCTCCGTGTGGGAACCCCCCACCGCCCTGCGCTCACGTTGCCCCGCTTCATTAGCGGCCATAATGAAGTTTGGAAACTAAAGGGTGGGGGGTGGAGGGGGGGATGGAGGTGGGGCGTTGTTTTACGGGTTTTAGTTTGTTTGCCATCACGTTGAGCACGCAGTTCCTTTGCCACGGATTGTCGTTAATGTCACTAGGACAGAGTTGGTTGTTATTTTATGGGCCCCGCTTATCGTATCGATTTTATTTATTGCGCAAAGTATTATTATCCGACTGGTGGTGGTGACGTTCGTTTGCGGCTTTTTCGACTTTGGATGGGGGGGTGGTGTAGGGCTCTGGGTTGGTAAACACGGCGAAAGATTAACCATCCAGCAAACCTCGCCAGCGTCCTCCCTCCCGCCCACCCCCCAAACCAATACCTCCACTGGCTCCCCAATGCCAGCTACGTACACTTCTCTTCCTTCGGCCCCCTCTTGTTGTTTGCCCCCCCCCCTGCCGCTCCACTCCAACCTGACTGGGCTTATTTCTGGCAAGCCGCGATGCGTTAAAGCACACACGCGCACACACACGCGCACACACGCACACACGCACACGCGCACACACGCACACACACACACACGCACACACACCTGCGCCCTGTTTGTCTTCCGCAAACCGTTTTTCTCGTGTGTGCTGCGCGAGGTGCGACCCGCTCCTCCGCCGTGGACGTGAATTAACATCGGGGCTGAAAGGATTTCTCACCTCTCTGTCTCTAAAAGGGGCTGTTTGAAAATAATGTTTGTGCTGAATTTGGGGTGGAAAGGGGGGCGGGCGGGCGGGCGGGCGGGGAGGTGGAGCGGGTGGTGGTGGTGTAGGGGGGTTTAGGCGGCGTTGTGTTTGCATTCACTTTGACGTGGCCACTGTTTTGAAAAACACCGTGGCGCTTTAAGAAGAG